ACAGACCTTGCATATTCTTCACAGTACTTACTTAAGAACCTGGGCGACTGTGTTTGGTCCATACCACTGGCCTATAGGCTTTCCCTCTCCAACTCCCATTTGGGCTGCAGCATTTAGAGACGTAAGAACAACTTTATGCAAAGTGTTTCAGGACTGCCTGAGTGAGCTCTTGATATAATTGGAAGGGTTTGACAGTCGCTACTTACCAATTTGATGGATGGAATAATAGCTGTCTTTTTTGTCAATGAAGGCGTTGAGAATACTGATGTACTCTTCTCTTTGTTTCTGGTCTCTGGCCCATCTCCAGTCTGAGAACAAAAGACCAGTTATGAAGCCTGTGTAAAACAAGCTCTGTTTTGCTATAGTCTACTCACTGGAGAAGAGCCATTAGTGTCACACACGATATCGATATCTTTGTTTTTGGATTTTTAAAGTTGTCTTACCTCTGCCTAAATGTCTACACACCAAGGCCTCGCCCAGGATCATCTGTCCGCACCGTAACATACATCCCCATCCCGTATCTGATGTTGGTCCTGTCCCACCTGTAACACATTCAACAATCACCCACAGGATCGCTTTTGTGGCTGGAAGTGAAACCCCAGATGACTTATCAACGGAAGCCGAGGAGTTCAACCAAAACACGGATTTGTTGTTTTCACTTACCAATGGGGGGGAAGTTTTTTCTGTATGTGAACCACAGTCGTGAAGTGACATCTGATAAAATCTCATCTTTCTCTACATGAGGAGCAGAAATCACCATGTTATCATACATCCAAATAGTAAAGTGTATACCTGCTAATATGACTCTTTGTAACTGAAATACTCCTCTCTTTCTCACATACACGTCATATTCCACAGTCCTACCTGTGAGTGCATTGTATTCTTTCCCTAAGATCCACACAGGCTCTGAGGTCTCAGGAAAATCTTCAAACTCTCCAAAGCGAAGTGTGTCGTATGTCAAGGTAGCTGCGAAAAAAGACATGTCAGTTGTAAGCCTTTGAAAAATTTCAAGGGAGAAATTGCTGGGGGTTATGTTATTGATCACTTGCAACTTGTTGCACTTGAAGCTATCTGTAAGGGAACACAGATGGAGTATCCATTAGTTGCTTGAGAAGAATTCCAGGAAGTATGTTCAATATACTGTACACGTATCTCTACAAACTATCCAGCATTTTAATCCCCATGCCTCTTAACCTGGGTCATGTTGTATATGCAATGGAGCAAATGAAGGAGGAATCTTCCTGTGGGATAAAATAAAGTATCAAGTTTCAAATTCTGGCCAAATGCATTTCATTGGGAAATGAACAGACCTTATAAACAAGCTCCACTAAATTAGGGAAAGCTCAAATTATAGTTAAAAGGACTTGTAAAGAATTTAGTGTTATACTTGCATAACGCTGGAGTGACAAACAGACTTATAAAAGAATGGTCAAATTTGTTGTGACAGAGGCCAAAATATCCTGACTTTCAATCCCTAGTACAGGAAAAACAAAAAAATGCTAAATCCTGTCAAACTTCACAGCCACATTTTGTAATTTGTAATTTTTTGTAATTTTTTCAGTGGAGTGTCCCTTTAATAAGAAGGGGTACATAACAATATGTACAAAAAATATATCAAATCAAACAAATATTTCACACATATCAGTATCTGAAAAAAAGTCTCCTTTGTGCAAGTAAGAAAATATGCATGTAAGTGGTTTCAAGAGAGTGTGGTGCCAAAAGGTAATCACAGTAACAGACTGTTTGCAGACTTGTCACTGGAAGCACTGGGCGCAAAGCCAAGTATATAAAACTGGGCACATCAGTAATAGACACCATTAAAGGGCACAATTCTCTTAAGACAGAAAAAACATTTCGGCCGGCTGGTGCACTTCGGTAAAGCTGAAAAGATATTAACAGATTCAAACTTTCTGGATAAAAAAAAAACTTAAACGACACCTCTTTCCAACAGTATGAAGGTAGAAAATGAGCTGCAACCTGCTGTCGTCCAAGTTGGAGAAATAACATTAGTATAAAGTGACACAAGTGCGCAGGGACTGTGCAACACTGAAAGGGGATACTACAAAAATATTTAACTCTTATACAGTGTGGTGTCACCACAATCACATCCCACATCAGTGGACCCCTGTTTGGTTGTACTTTGGATAATGTATTTCTTTAGTGTAGTGTAGTGGCACCAATTTTTTTTTTTACTATAACCAACAGGAGACCAATGATGTGAAAAGTGATTTTAGTGACACTATCCTTCATAAAAAGGGGAGTCACTGAATATTTTTCCCAGTAAAAAATCCCCAAAATTATAAAAAAGCACAGTTTTCCCAAAAGGTTATAGTATTACCAACAGGAGACCTCTAGAGGTTGGACTGATTTTTGTGACACTAAAGTGTGAGAGACTATAACTCCTAATAAAAATTCCCCTAAAATTATGAAAACCCATAGGAGCCCATTGATGTATGATGTGATTCTGGTGACACTATATAAGAGTAAACTTACTGAATATTTTTGTAGTATCTCTTTTCGGTGCACATAGAAACCAATGTTATTTCTCCAGCTCGGAGGATGGCTTATTCTGATGAAAATTATGTTGTAGCTCCATGTCTACCTTAGTACTGTTGGAAAAAGGCGTCGTTAAGTTTCTTGTGTTGTTGTTTTTTTCATCCCAGAAGTTGGAATATGTGGATATCTATCCAACTTGACCGAACTAGTAAATGGTGCCGGTAATTAAGTGTTTAAAAAGGTTCATGTTGTTTATGCCAACACATGTAAGACCGCCATAATGTTATCTACAAAACTAACAGACGGGAAAAAGTTGACGAGCTAGCTCACTACGTGTCAGTTACTTGGCTCTGACACAGGAAACTGTGATTTGCAGGTTTAAAGCTAGCGTTAAAAGAAAGAAGGGATATGTTTTCAGTCGAAATAGACGCAAATACAGTATCGCTTTCTCTGTGTGCCATTACGAGTCTTCCTTCATACCATAGAGCCTCTCTCATGGCTAACAGTATTCCCAGTACTACCAGTAACGTAGTGTAACTGATGTGATGGTGACAGTGCATCGACTGGGATGTTCGTCTTGGGCGTAACATAACGTTAGCATAAACAGTCAAACCAAGGACAGGAGGCTCATTATTAAGAGCGAAACTTCATCATAAACACATGTCATTAACACAGATTTCATCTGGACACCGTACAGAAAGTTATACGGCTGTACAACGAACTGTCAAAGCGGGGAAACCACCACATTTAGCAATTACAACAGGCTAACGTTAAGCTAGCAGTTAGCTTTAGTCATCACTTTAGCAGGCTAACGTCACCGAGGCTACAAAGCAACAAGGGTCTGTGTTGGACTGGCGGCTGGAAATGGCAATCCTGTCGTGATAGAGCAGGGGATTTTTTGCCAGGTATGAAATAACGATGCCGTGGTTGCTTTGTAGCTAGACTAGCTTGCTAAGGGAGAGAAAAACTGTTATTTTGCTATAAAATCTCGTTTACCTGCATCCATCCCGACGGTCTTCACCCTATCTTGTTTGTTGTTCTCTGCACTCCGACCCGCTGGACCAATAGGAAGAGAGTTCTGCTTAGGAATTTCGAAAGAGGCGGGACATTTCTCACCACATCCAATAAGACGCGAGAGGTGGGCTTATTTTGCCCCAACCAATCAGTGGTGGCTGACGTATCCATTCCGATGAAACCTGTTTATGGTGCATTCAAGTTACAGATATAAGGAGGTTTAATAACCATGCTTCTACCTTATTTGACCACAAAGCAGTTAATATAAATATTTTTTTCCCATTTAACAAATTCCTATAGCCTTTAATTAGGAAGTTAGTACAAGCCTTCGTGTACATTATCCTCAAAAATCACGTCTTCTTCATTCAGAATTGTAAACAAACTCATTTGATCAGTAATGGCTGCCCCTAGAATTTTAAGTGACATTTAGGCCTACAGGCAGAAGCTGGGTGGATGGGTGAGCATATTCATCAAAGTTTCTTCGCTTAGAAAAATCCAAACTGAAATAAATCTATCAGTAAACCATGAAGTATGTAATTTAATTATTCTAAAAAGATTGATACGAATTATTCAGTTCTTACAGTAAACTTTACTGATTCAATTTCTCAAAAGAAAAACAAAACAAACAGCAAAGTCTAAACTCCATTAAGAACTGCAATATAATAATATCCATAGTAAGAGATAGGATATCAGTGTAAGGGTGAAGTGTAACAGGAATGGTTTGAGATGCAGTGTTAAACACCCAAGCTTCAGTGGGGGTCAGCAGTTTACAAATAAACTATACAGGAGGATTATTACTCATATTTAGTCATAAGTCATTAAGTACTTAGTTAGAAAAATGAGGTGGACAATGTCTCACGGTGGTTGGAGACGTGTCTGAACATAACGAATGCAGATGCCTCCACACGGCTTCACTGCATGGTACAATTAAGCAATTACCATCCAGTCATGTACTGTGGCATGTATGAAAATGCTGAGCAGGCCCAGGTGATTCAGATTTTTTTTTTATCGAGATGACAAGAGGAAAAGATTTATCTTTAAGGAGGGTCCATTGTTGGGGCACAGATGGCACGAGCTTCAGGCACAAAGACGGCTCAGCTGGAGAGTGTTTCAGTAGAAACTGGGACTAAAGTGAGATCTGCATCTCAGTAAATAGGGATGAAAATTGTTGAACCGTGATGCTCGTGCATTAGTTCAGTATGTAAGGAAAAAACAGAAGAACAGCTCTTCTTCAGTTGACTGAGAATGTCAATGCACAACGTGATAAGACTGTGTCAGCAACAAGTCATAGAGAAGGATATTATAGGAGCGTCGCAGTGCATGAATCCCTCATTACTTGACCCCTGAAGTGAGGGGATCCAGTGGCTCTGTCATGTTGTGGGGATCATTGTGCTGCCATCTTGTCCCCTCAGAGAGAATGCTCACTGCAAATCAATACAAACTTACAAATTTACAATTGCAGACCCAAAGGATAGTTGTAAGAACCATTTATTAACATTAATATTTACAGATGCATGTAACTCATACAAATTTGCTTATTTTCTCTGTCACCTAATCCTATGTGCCGTGTAAAAGTGAAATTATTCATGGAATAAATTCTACTCATATATTGAAATGTTATCAAAGTGCTCTAACTCAAAGAAAAAATACTGTTACTTAGCATTTCTGCCATCACAGTACAGCAATATAAACACACTGCCTCACAATGAAAAAGGAATACAGAGACCAAGAGCTGCATTGAACGTATAGTGCTGTCTGAAATACATTTTGTGGCAGGTGTAGGCTCAATTCATCTGACTCATTAGGGACTGGGGAGAGGGCCTAAAGGGCCTAAAGCAAGCAGATCCTTATGTTAATTAACAGTTTCTTGTAGTTAACCATTAATAAGCTAATAGAACCTCAGTCAAAATATGTTCTCAAAGCTGACTTGTTGGTCCTGCTGGATACTAGCTATTGTGATGAGAAAAATAAAACCCTTAAACAGAGACAGGATCGTTGTTGATGAAGCTGAAGCAAAATATAAATCTGGAGTGAGACAGAGACTACCCTCCCTTCAGCAAAGAGAAAGACATACATGAACCCTTCCCCTTTTATGAGCCCCAAGCCCCCAACTATATTCATTCAGTCCTTTAGTTAGAAGAAGTGTGATGCACTTTCCACTTATCTAGCATGGACTAGTCTGTTGGCCTGTGTATGCCATCCAGGTGAGAAGTGGGGACCTTAGTTAGACCACCATGAGTGATACAGTAGTTACCACTTTCAACCACTAGAGGCAGCCAAACCCCTGGCGAACAGGCATCCGCATGGTCAACTCTGCTGTTTGTGGAAAAATGAAAAGCTAAAAACATTAACAGCGGGTGATTTTTAGACATTCACATCAAATGTGTGGCAATATTCTGTATAAGCTTTCAAAATAAATAGCCACGGCGAAGCAGAAGAAGCAGGACAAGTCCATTGTCTACGAATGGAATAGGTGCTCATCAGTGAAGGCTCAGTGCAAATGAGTGTAAACATAATCCAGAGCAGTGGATGCTTCAGCGGAGGAGTGGTGCTGGTGGTGGTGTGCAGTGCCGGTCAGTCTGCTCCAAATCCAGCATGTGACTTTGTCTTTCACTTCTCCCGCAGGAGGTACAACACAATGGCCTTCAGATAGTGTCCAAAGGCACAGGCAGCAGTCACCAGCCAGTGAGAGCGGAAGCTGGGATCAGTATTCACCACGCATTTTGTCACGTCCACCTGTAACAGCAGAGAGAACACAGAGATCACCAAATGAAGCGTGACGCCGATATAAAACAACACAGAAAAGTGGCTTTTGGAGCAAGAGTTCTCCTGCTGTGTGTGTTTCACAGTGGTATCAATCCAACACATGTTGTTGATCAGTCAAGAATCTGCAGTGACAAGACGTACAACCTTCCCACAAATATGTTATTTCAAAGCCAAGGCCCACACTGTAATCTCAGCAATGCTTATTCAAACAGTCTACTGATAAACTATAACTTTCACAGCAAATGAAACACAACAGACAGTCCTGACACCAAACACTCCTCCTATCAATCTGGGCCCTTACATTACAAAATATTCAAAAGGTTTCCTACACGCTGACATCATCCCCCAGTGTAGAAATATTACAGTTTGAGTTCAGACTGCAGCTGCGGAATAAAAACACGTCCCTCGTTTGTGCTTGTGAGGTCAGTTATACAATGCATTGCTCTTCATTTTGTCACACTCCATTTATTTTCAAAACACAGCCGACTTGGGTGCCATGTTTCTGGGTACACAAGCGTTCATTCGCTCGGTTGTTGTGCTCTTTCCAGCAGAGCAGAGCAGAGCACAGACAGAGGCACGCTGCCAGGCCTTGTTACTTCTCAGGGGCTGAGTTTCACTTTATTGTTTCTGCGGGATTTTTTTTTTTTTTTTATCAGACAGGCTTTTCCCATAAACAGGAATCTACAGAAGGAACCACTTCTCTTCTGTCTGATGCAGTTTGTGTGTAGCTGTCCTTGTTTTTAAACCCCAAACAATTACTTGTTAAATTCAAGTCATCAGTTGTGGATGTGTCTTTCCTCATGCACTGTGATCTGATCAAATTCTAATTCTGTGTTAAAGAAACTATTTTATATATATATATATAGAGAGAGAGAGAGAGACTATAGCTACTATGACGTTTAAGTTCATAAAAGGGGAACAAGTACTGAAACATTAAAACAAAAAATCCAGAGCACCAGTTCACTTATAGGTGATTATTGTGATCTGTTAGAGTTACTAAAAACTGGTCGTTAAATTACAGTTACTAATCATTAAATATATTCTGTAGAATAAAAAGCCGATATGCAGAACATGACCTTCATTCTGTTGCTTGGCATCTTTAGGCCGAGCAGGAACATCTTCTGTTGGCCAAGCTAACGTCACTCAGCATTGTGTCTTCAATAAATATTTACTCGTCATCAGGTTGTGAATTTCTACAGGACACCAACAGAATAAATGAATGATACTTAAACATAATCAAGTGTAATAAGTTACATTGCCTTGACGAAGCCATTAAAACAGTTAGCGGGTTAATTAATAATCTGTTACCTGTTAGATTTCAACTGTAACCTTCCCAACACTGTGTGAGAGGGTTTACTACTTTACTGTGAGGCGCCCCCTGTCATCATTATTGTACTTACACCTTATTATACTTAAACCTGCTTTATTGCAGTTTCACATTACCACAGTGAGTCTGTGATATTTTCCATAGCAGAATATCACAGGGACCGTGTCTATCTGTTCTTTCAAAGCGTCTCAGATAACGAGGGAAGCGTCAGCAACTAATGAAATGATTAGACAATTAGTTCATTGACAGAAAATTAACTGGAAACCATTTTGATAATCAATTACTCAAGAAAATAAAAATACAATTTTCCAGCACAAATACCAAACATTTAATAGTTCCAGCTTTTCAAATGTTCAGATTTGGGCCTCACTGCTTTAAACCTTTGTAAATGAGTAAATCAGACAAAAAGAACAATTTGAAAATGTCGCCCTTAGTCTCTGGCAGTGGGACTCGGATGTTAAAATTACCGTACTTTATCATTTCAAGCCCTGTATAATATTGCTATGATATTCCCATATAGTATCCATGTTGGGATTTAGAACAGATGTAGTGGGGTTTAATGATTTTACAGTCAGCTTAACATACTTGGCCGCACCAAGCAAACACTGCCGCAGCTCTGTCAGCCATCAGTGTCGGTTAACCGTCGTCTAACTACAGGCCTGAGAGCAGCAGCATCGACAACATTCACATACAGACAAGCAGCCACACAAACAAGTAATCAGGTGAAGTATCTCTTACCCAGCCCCCTCTCCTTTTTAACCAGGACGTCAGACTCTTGCGGACAAACTCCCCCATGCAGTCGACGATGGTATGGACCATGGCTGGATGACCGTGGCGTACACAGTCCACTGCCAAGGCCCCCGCCACGGCGTATAAAGACACCACCTTTCCCCATGTTACACCTGACAAAGACACACAGCTGTTAGAACAAAACACACGACACCCTCACTCAAAGCTTTATCCACAATCACTTACGTCCTGCGATCTGATGGACAAACAGTGAAAACAGGAAAGTGGGGTGACTGCTCTTTCTGAACAGCTGAAGTAGGTTTTGGGGCAGCAAAATGTCTGTGTCAGCAGCTCTCTTCAAAGATGGATGAACAAATTATAAAACCTCAGCAGCAACCAGGCATGAGGCCTGCGTGCCTGTCTGTCCCACAAAGAAGAAAACCCAAACACAAGGCTGGGCGCAGCAGTCAGGCGGTGCGCCTCACCAGATTAGTGAACAGATCATTTTTCCAACTTAGTTCTTCGTTCAGAGCGCCTGGAGATAATGCATGTTATGGTTTGACTCTGTATAAATAAAACTGAATTGAATTGATGTAGAGTAAAGCTTTCTGCCCCCACACCATTTACAGTCAAAGCTACAGACCATTCCTGTAGGGTTTATACTGTAGATCCAACACATACAAACTGAGCCTCAACTCCATCCATCTTCTCCAACTGTCGTCTGATTCATTCCTAGGATCTCATAAACGGCGCTCGTGTTTCTCTTCAACGCTGAAATCTGGACTTTGCAGGATGACGCGCTATTAAAACTGCTACTCGAATATTTAGTGAGTTTAGAAGAGATGAAACTTTTAAACCAAAGTTTTGGTTCAAAGAATTAAAAAGACGCAACAAAAACACTAATGAATATAAAACAGAATTAAAAGAAAGAAGAAAAAAAACAAGACTGTGTTAGTTTTAATGTAAGAATGTGATCATACTTCAGTTTTTAAATATCCTGAATCAGTGGTTTCAGTGGTTATATGAGATGCACATTGCGTCGCACAAGGTGTAAAATAAAATCTCCATATCATGCAAATCAGTTTGAACAAATTCATTTTCCCAGTTGTCGTCGCGCTTAGAGTCACGAGGAAAGTCATTATGTGGATGTTGACGTGAAAAAAAATCTTATCAACAGAAAACAGCTTTGTTCTTATTTTCTTTAGACATTTCTGATTTCATGGAGATCCCACATGGGAGTTATGGGAGTTGACTAAATTAAAACTGGCCTCCTTTGGGAGCCTTGTGAGAGACAAACTAAAAAAAGAATGGCTGAAAACTGATGAACTGAAGCAGAGGTTGAGATATTGTGACTTTTAGTTTCCAGCATTGGTCAGGCTCTAAAAAAACCCCAAAAAAAACGCTGGATCCCAAAGTGCAACTCGTGTCTTTTGTTGCAAACTTCCTACCAAACTCCACACGCTCAGTTTGTACATTTTCCAAGAAAATAATTGAAGTCTCCAAGCTGAGATAACCCACATGAGATCACCAGGGGGTATTTTCTCATACTTGACAAAGCTGCTTTCAAAGCCACTGTTTAGCCAGGATCAATGTATTGCTCTTGTCAGTGCGACCTCACATAGGGTCCCACCTCAGGCGCTGGTTCGACTTGTGCTGTATACAGACCGACAATGTCCACTTTGTGCTTCAGTTAAGCTATTGAGGTGCCTCGGCTCTACGGTAGAAAATACATGCATTTCTCGATGTAAGGGCAAAAATGAAACATGTACTTGAACCAATAGGACGCCCCGTCAGATGGACCACTACTTGAGTAAAAGGGATACTCCAGTGGTGTAGCATTATTCTTCCATAAAGTTTGCAATTTTAAACGTGCTTTAACCGATTTGTTTAGCTCTGTTTTAAACATGTTCACTAGCTAGTGGCTAACTTTGTCTTTACAGCCTTAACTTTACAGCAGGTTTATTTAAAGGTGAGGGCTGTAACACCAAAACAATGATCTGGAAGATGCTAAGACGCTCTGTGGAGCTGAGAGGAACTGAGAGCCGGGTGGAAAAATCCTCTGTGGGTTCGAGAAATCCAGTGACATCTTTCACATTACAGGCAGTAATTTGATCCATTGTTAAATAAATGTTTCAAGAAAAGGGAAGTCGAAGGAAACAAAAGGCATCTCATCCTGCACTGCTGCACAGTTCAACATGCAGGATGTCAGAAAATATTTTAGCCGTGGTTTATCGGTGCCTTGTGGAAAGCAGCGCTACATTTGTGACTGAGCTCATGCACATTAAAAAAGCTTGTGGTCATTATCTACTGCTGCTCATAACTTCCTCTTCACACTGTGACAAGTCTAGACCGTCAGCTTTATTGTATGTCCGACTTTTTAAAACCTGTAAACTGAAACTAAAGCCTCACTGCAATTTGTTTTTCCTCGTGTAAATCCTTAAATAAACACTGCAGTCATAATCATAACCACAGGAGCATGTTTGGAATAAGGTACATGTTCTTTCATTTTAATATATTTGAAGTGGGCAACAATTTTTCTAAGTGACTCTGCTCCTACCAAGGACCAGACTAATCTGATTTTCTTCAGTTTACAGTTGACTCTTAATTACCTTTGCAGCAGACTGCTTTGTTACATTCCCTGAGGAAGAAGCCAGCTGAGATACATGACTGAACTCCTGGGGTGGGGTTCAAACTGTCCGTAACAATCACTCACTCCAGCAACATGTTAACCTAATATGGGCTGAATTTTCCTCTAGGTTTCCTTTCCTGGAGGGGATAATGACAGCAACAAAATGTCTCTGACTAACTACAGGATCCTGTGGTCAACCTACTTTAGAAGTGTTTACATGGAAAAAGCAGACTGAAATTAGTTTATTTTAGGCAGGAAAACTTGACTGTTAATTAAAACGAAAAAGCATTAATAGGAGAAGTAACATTTGCACTCCAAACTTTCAATATCTTTATCGTAAAGGCCTCAAGCTCTGAAGTTCCTCCTTCCCATTTACAACTAAATGAAGAACTTCCCTAAAAGGACCGACATCTTCCTTTATTTTCAAGTCCAGGTTTGTGAAGGTCAGAAATAAACCTGATAACAAAGCACTAAAGTTAGTTCCCATGATGTAGGCCTGCATGCATGGCTTGATTTACAGTGCAACTACATTTTGACGAGGACCTACCTGTGGAGAAAATGTCTGCAGCCACAGCCAGGAAGGCGTCGGACACCACACTCTCTGATGCCACTGTGATGTTTAGCTGTCGCGCTACGTTACGGTAAACGTTGGGTCGAAGGTATTCCAACTCATTACCTGGCAAGAACAAAAGAAAATAAACTGTTTTAAGTGTTTCTTACTTTGCACTTCCTATTTAAGAAAAAAGAAGAAGCGATAACACAATATTCCTGTTACAAATGAAAAGCTGAATTCATAAGCGATAAAACACAATATGACCAGTAGCTAACAGTGGCTAATATAGGCTAATGTTAGCAAACTTAAGTAAATAAGTATGTATAACTAATATAAGTAATGTATAACAGACATTACGGAGTTAATTGGCTGAGTCTATTAACCCACTTCACTTATGCTACTGTTACAATAGGTTAGCAGATTAGCTAAACGCTGAATGCAGTAGTTAATTGGACATAATTATCATTTGTAGCCACAGTTTAGCAAAAGCGACATGTTTTTGCTTTAAATTTAAAGGTGTATTTTGATAATAATCTTGTTTAGACTTTTGCAGAGAGTTTGATGACAACGTTGGTTAAATGTGTGGCTAAAGCCTGTTAGCTTAACTTGGTATAAAGAAAGAAGCAAGCTTGGCTCTGTTCGAAGGTACCAATAACTAGCTGGAGTCTTCGCTGGTTCCCGGTCAAGAAATAGTCTTTATTTTTTAGTAATTGTTGTTTTTACATTGCACAGTTTTGACGGACTAAACAAACAAGGTTTAACTTATTAATTAGTGAGTTTTAAAGATGCCGCTAGGTGGATTTTGTTACCTTCGGACAGCTTCAATTTAGCTGTTTCTACCTGTGTCAAGTCTTTGTGCTAAGCTAAGTGGTAGCAGCTACAGATTTACTGATGTACTGTTTTCACCTGAACTTTTTATCTGTGAGCTGTAGATTTTTTTTCTGTAACTCAGTAGACTTTAAAATGAACCAAAAAGTCCAAAATAAACAGAGTTACTATCTATAATAGATGTTGGTCTCAGAGGTTTGCCAACCCTGTTTTGATTTTTATTTTTTTTTTAGCTAATTTTGGAGACTGCCTGCCCAGATGTGTTCCCGATTGTTTCCTTTTGTTTTTTCTTCCATAAACACGTTCTACTTTCGATTAGATCTGAGTTTCCAGCAACTTTCATAACTAGCCAAAGCAGAGGTGGGCTATGTAAAGTGAAATGTCACACTGGAAGAGCCATCTGTAGTCTGTCAGTTTTCATAGTGGGCAGACATCCAGGCGGGGAAGATATCACTGAAACGAAACCATGTCCCTTTTTTTTTCTTTCTGGGGATTCCCTGGAATCACTTCAAGGTCTTCCACTGAAAACGAAAGGTGTTCTCACAACACTTTTCTGGATGATGAAATGTAATGACAAACTGGATCATGGCCAGGATTTTTTTAAGTCCTTGAATCCAGGCAGCCGCATCCACCCCACAAGACAATTTTGAAGAGATTTATCCATCAAAAACAGCTCTACATACACAGTTTCTCTACATGAGGGTTAGAGTTCGCTTTATACCACCAGGTATAAATTCCATTTATTGTTAAAATGCTCTCATGTGTTTTTTCTCATGTTGTTTTTTAACCTAAAAGTGGTCAAATGAAAGTCAATTGAGCCTGTTGGTACATTTCTTTTTTTTTTCTTTAAATAACCAGCATGTTAAACTTAAATTCATAGACTGTTAAATGCACTTTAGGCCCTGACATCCCAAGGAAAAAAATAAAGACATAACCTTTGCCCTCTCAATGTCAGCCATAGCAGAAATGAACTCAATGTAACTGTCTGTGGGGATATTATAGTAGTACTATTTGCCTTTAAATACTGTAAAATAATTTTATTAGTAGGTGACCTGCTGAATGATGCTGAATGATGCTCTATGGAGTTTTAGGTGAACCATCTGAACTTACCCAGCCACAGCAGAACCGTCGATATCTCTCCCAGCGTCCCACCTGATGCAGCCAGCCCATGTTCGGGATTAGACCAGCCAACGCCGGCACGGTTCAGCCTGGAATGGATGTAGTCCCTGCACAGTGCTTTGGCCTGGGACACCAACTCCTTGTCGGTGGGGGAGCGGTCAAACACCTCAGCCGCAAACACAGAGGAGCGGCGCAACATCTCCATGCCCCTGTCATCCGCCACGGAGTGCGCTGCTCACCTCCCCGCCTCCACCGCCACACACAGCGGCCACTTCTCCCCGGCACACGTCCTCCAAATTCCTCTTCTCGCAAGACAGCAAGACCTCTGGAGATTATCCTGAATAACAAACACGCGGATTAGTTTGTGGGCATCTTTTGATAGCCTGGATAAAGCTGTCCTAAGCAGGCGCAATCACAGTCCACTGAAGCTGCAGGTTATATAAACCCCAGGCTGGAGAGAGAGAGGAGGAAAAGTTTCACACTAGACCAGAGAACTTACGTATTCTCCATAAAGTTAGTATTAGTGCGCATATACCCGCTTATAATGAAGGCAAACACAATTAAATTATTCTTACCCGAGAATTAATAAGATGATAATCCCCACCTACACCATCATCTTTACACGGGCTCCATCTTCGCTCGTCACTGAGCCGAAAAGTGGTTTTGGTCGCTGACTTCTGTGAACTGAGGATTCACCGCCACTCCAGGCGCAAAAGACTGCTCCAAGTTTACAGTCTGACAGGCTTTCCTTCTAAGGGCACTTATTGTGGAGTCCAAAGGCGGAGATAAGGGGGACCAACACAAGCCCCGCCCCTCCGGCTCCCATCCCAACTCACACGACTAACACACACTGGATTTATCAAAGGTGTGCATGCATAATAGAAAACCAGCAATCCTCAGCTCCAACTAGTCCATTCGGTTATTTTCTATGGAACAGGAAACACGCAGGAAGCTTGTCAAAATAAAACACTTAATTTTGTCTAAATCATCCGGACTGTGTGAGTGGTGTACTAATGATCGAGTGCAGGCTGTGAAGCAGAAACTTGTACCCGTTAGAAGGTGAAATGCTGCCCACAGTGAATAAATACTATAAGTTTAAAAGTGTAAAGGATAGTATAAATAAAAATCTGGTTAAAAAAAAAACTCTTAAAGGGTTATTACAACAATTTCTTATTGCACTTCTGCAAAGTTGAGGGAGATGGATTTAAAAAAGAATAGTCAAAGTCAAAGCAGCAGAGAATGACATATACTGACTTTTAGCCCCTAGTATGGCTCAGGCTGCATAAACTCACAATCCTACATTTCCTATAAGGCAACCTTACCATTAAAAAAACTCCATGCCCCCATTTTGCAGCTTCAGGCTCACTGTTAAGACTTTTAGTTTCCAAGCCCAAGCTTAGAGAGAAGATAACGCTTCTGACAAATACATTAGACAACTATGAGTCAGTGATTTATCTTTGCAAAGCTTAGGCACCATGAAAATATGCAATATACAAGTAAGTCCTTTGGAGATGCATGTAAAACTCCCTGATCATTCTATCTCAAATCCACCATTCAAAATTTGACCTAGAATGGAGGCAAGTTTGGCAGTAAATGAAAATTCACTTGCACACTATAAACTTTAATAATATATTATAATGTCAGTAATGTAACAGTTGCATTTATATGCAGGGGAATACAATATATTTCAAGAATGGTTTGATGTTTGGGGAAATACATTTATTTGCTTTGCTGATACCACTAGGCTAGCTCTAGCAGCTAGTTAGCTTAGACTTAGCACAGAGTGGAAACAGGGAAACAGCTAGCCTAGTTTAAACAGATGAGACATAAGATGTTAACTAGGCAGTATTCATTGCTGGAATGCGTACTGTATTTTGTAAAACCAGGCTAATTTAACTGAATAAAAAAAAAAGGTAAACTTGTTAGACTCATGATTCAGTGTTTGTGTAGGGCCCTGCTGGTGTTGTACCTTTAATAGGAGGACCTTACAGTCAAATTCTGCCTGCTCATTATATAGTATTTCAATTGAGAAATGTCAGTTAGGCTATTGTGTGTTTCCTGTATGACATACTAATTTAGCAGTGAGTGCAGTTAGCCACGATAAGGATTTGAAACCAACACAATGCATCGTCTCCGTTCTGAAAGCAACATAATATTTGATCGTATTCACGTCGTAGATGTAAAATCGTCATCTGCAAACTATTTACCGACTGAACCCATTAGATCGAGGTAGTGGAATAAATGCGCTGTGTAGCCAAGTCATTTTGAAAATGAAACATCATGACAGCAGACAGCGGTGTCTGACACGTCTTCGCCACTCCCTAAAAGAAAACTGTTTGAGTTGATTTCCTTGGCAGGTGAGCCGTATTGGCATTTCAGGGGAAGCCGCCCCACCCAATTTTCATGCTGTTTGGACATGCCTGAGGAATGCCCCTGCTTTGTTTGGGGTTGCTCGACAGTTTTACAGATCCCTGTTTGAGTAATACGGCAGGCAAGAAAATCTGTAACCGACAACTTAATTATTGAGAAGGCTCAGTGAGATCTTTTATTCTCTACACAGGTACACTCAAACAAAATTCCCTCGTACCAGATGAGGCGTTGTTACACCACTAAGGTTTCACAAGGCAGTTTCAGTGTGCAAAACTCTTCTTGCCGTGAAACTCAAAATGCTGTCCTAGCATATATATATATATATATATATACATATAGAGCAGGACACTACATCACAGTCCTCAGAATGCAGCCACATCTCAGCAACTTACACTTGCAAGCATTTTGTTTAGTTTTTATTAAGTTTTTAAATTTGTTAATGTGGGCTGGTGAGAGAGAGGGGGATAGATAGATAGATGAATGGATAGATAGATAGATCCCACCAGCCCCCAGTCTTAAGTTTACATTGTACATCCTCCTCTGGTTGAGGAACCTGAGAAGTCTCTCCTGTGGCTGGACAAGCTCAGCTCCTCCTCAGAACTTGAGTCGTCGTGACCCAGCAGCCTCTGCCTCAGTGCCCTCACCTCGTCACGAAGGGCATTCACCTGCTCCTGAAGCGCCCGAACCGTCTCAGCGATGCTTTGAACTGCTTCTGGCATCCACAGTTCTGCTTTCAGTCTGCACTCCCTCGTCTCATTCGTGTCTCTCAGTTCTCTTTCCCTCTTGGACATCGTCTGAAGCTCCAGGACCTCTCTCTGCAGAGTTTCGTTGACTTGCATCATCTCTTTTTCGACCTCACATTTTTGTTTTTTCATGGTCTCGATCTCTCTCTGCAAGATCTCTCTCTCCTGGTCCCACGCCTTTCGGTTCAAGGTCACCTCTTTGGTGATGGCGTCCACTTTCTCCTGTAGAGCCTCCTTCTCCTGCAGGGCCCGTTTCTGCTTCTCCTTCGCCTCACAACTCTGTTTGGTCAGGACCTCGATTCGCTGGTGAAAGGTCTCTCGCTCCTTCTCCCAAACCTTAAGATTCTTGGACACTCGAGACACAGCACTGGTGGGCTTTGTCAGTCGATTAATGTTTTTCTGAAAGGCATCTATGTCTTCAGCGATTATGTCACTTTCTGTGCAGAGGACACTGTTTTTGTCGGTGAGGACCTGGTTGTCCTGGCAGAAGGACTCATAGTCTGCACCGTTGGTGATTTGCTGATGGAAATCTATATCATCTGTGCCCCTTACTTCAGGGACCCTGCCGGTGTCCTGCTCGCCCGTCAGGTCATTCAGTGTTTTCTGCAACATCTCCCTCTTTTGAATTAGGTGTTTCTTAATGAGGCAGAGCGCTCTGTTTTTACGGAGGAGGACACTATTGGTTTCGCGTATCAATTCAAAATCATTGCGTGCAGTGTTGTTCTCCTGCGACTCCATTTTGTAATTGTTGTGAGTCAAAAATGTAATTCTCTGTTGTTTTTGTGCAGAAACACTGTCGGTCGCCGTAGTTACTCCGCTGGCTTTTTTTTTTCCAAATTGCATTCGTGCGTACGACGTGCCCGAATTTAAACGGGCGGTTTGCCGGAAGTGACGTACCAATTGGACTAGCTTCGATCTCGTTACCGCCGCAACGTTATGCGTCAACGCCATTACGCTCGAGTGTAAGTGCGCATGCGTATAAATCGAATCCTGTAACACTTGAAAACTAGTTCAGATAACTCCTGAAAGAAATGAGCTTCACCTACAGTTTGTCTGGTTTGTGCCTTTGCAAATAGTGATTGAAGTACATTAAAAAAAATTATTATTATATTTTAATGTTTAGACAGGAATCAGTTATGGCTTATTTTTAAAAGATTCTGCAAACCAGTGGCTAAAAATGACCCAAAAAGGGCAAAGGTTCAGTATTATGTGCAGTAAAAGTGATCTGGCAAAGCTTCTTGTGAAGTACCTTGAGGTAAACACCTATAATGTAAAAGTTTCTCATTAGACATTCGGTAGACATCTGCTGTCGAGATGTTTTCTGCAACACGTATTATGTAAAACAGCCTGTAACTGTCTGAAAAACAGACACAAACTGATTGAAATGATGTTTTATTTGTTAGGTGTTCAATGGAATAACATGAAGACTACATGAGGGCATTCAGGAGCATGGCCCTGATCACATGCTAAACAATAAATAGGAGTAACATACTCAATGTTAACTGTGCGACAGAGTCGGTCTCTTACACACACACACACAGGATGTCAGATGGTTGGAAGATGACCTCTATCATCACCGTCTGATACAGCTCCAGAGGCAGGGGAGGTGTACAAGTAGGACTACACACTTGGCTTTATTGCGCACACACACACACACACACACACACACACATACTGTACAAACGTGCACACACACATACACAGAGTAAAGGTTCCAGTCTTCATAAAAAATATACACCAAATAATACCATGTTTGCGTGTAGCGCACTAAATAACTGACAGGAAGTGTCATAGGTGTCTCCCATAAGTCAGCTCCCATTTGTCTAAACAGCCTGTCACACAAAGACATAATCACCAAGTACAGTTACTTCAAAATATGTTCTTCTGGTTTGTTTTAAAAAGAAAAATCTGCAACTTTTCCACAGAGTAAACACTAAAGTAACCACTGCACAGTATTTCCTCGAGTTGTTATCCCTATGAACAATAACAGGATAAAAGATTACATTTAATAGTATAAGGTGTCACCAAACTGGCAATAATGCTGCCTAACTAATCAGGAGTATTAAGCAGAGCAGCACTTGAAATATCTTTCGCCTCCTTCTGTTAACTTAGTGGACTGGCCTCAGAGTTTTAGAAATAAAAACTGCTCACACTAAAGTTCATACAGGTTGATGCTTAAAACCCTGTGAAACGTTCACTGACGTGTAACAACGTCTGATGCCGAATCGCGTGCGTGTCTTCGTCCATACAGCAGCATGAATTCCTCAAAACTTCCCATGTGTCAACGGCTTCTAGTCTCAAACTTGTTTCGACGTTTCATTAACTTTCTGCTCGCCTCCATCCCTCTCTCTCCCTCTCTCACACACATACAGACCCTTCTGGCTCTCCCAAAGTAAAATGAAGAGAGCACACACTATCCCGTTCCTTCATTTTCCACATACTGTATATCACCTGTTTCCCGGCGCACAGTGCTGTACCCAACAAAGCTTCACTCGACATGTGCTCAAGAGAAAAAGCCCGATTTTCAGCCGTCTGTGTTGAATTTGGTCCCTTAAAAAAAAACAGTATTCCCCCGTGATTTCGGTCTATATGACCAGCGCTACACATGCAAAAAAACAAACAAACAAACAAAAAAAACCCAAAAAACAGATCATAATGTACAGGTCTCCCTTTCATTATATCCTGTGTACTGGAGCAAATGTTATCATTTACATCATTAATCAAGAAAAACGCACAGACCATTAGAGAAATGTTAACACTTCAAAACTGGCAGTATCTTTCCAGTCTCCACTTGTTAATGTCCACATGTTCATTTCACTGTAGATCGACTCCGAGCCTGAAGAGACCGACTTGAGTTTATCTGCTGTCCCAGAGGCCCAGCCTCCAGACACACGATGTTTGATTTACTTTCCGTTCATCTCCATAGGACCTCCTTTAGGTATGAGCAGGCTCATCCGGCCCGTGGTGCTGGCTGCACTCTTGATCACCTCCATCCATCTGTGAAGAGACGAGCGTGTGGTGTCACGTCGGCGGACTTAAGTGTAAAACTATTACTGAATTACCCCCCCTGTGAAGGGTGTGACAGTGCTCTGGGAGTCACGGGATAAATTATAAACAAGACAATGTGCTCGTACCTTTCGAAGGTGTACTCGCTCTCTGCCCGGAAAAAGTAAACGTGGGACTTGAACTGCAGTTTGAAGACGTACTCCTTGTGAATGCTGTCAGACTCCTCGGGGGTGCTGACTGTGTAGCCGAGCAGGGGGAGACTGGCCAGCGGGAAGTCGTCCTGTAAACAACAACAACAACAACAACAACACCCCCCCCCATCACCTCAGTTACATGTCTTTTAAATAAATCATTGTACATTGGGTGTAGCACTGAATTACCAGAATACCGACCGGTTTTGTTGTTGTTCTGTGTGCCATATATACTGTATGTCAACTTTACAGGGCGTGTCCATATTAAAAAAAAAAAAGGAGCACAACATACAACTTTATCCCCTTCATTGCTCACCAGCCGCAGCCTCTTATACAACCTGGAATTCCTTATATAAAAAAGGTACTTCGCCCCTGGAGTGCTACACCCCCTTTCCACCTAAAGTGGCAGGTATGAACGGGTGTTTTAAAGCTGCTAATAAAAGCTGATTGACCCCTTTTCCACTCCCAGTCGAGTTTGTCTTTCTGTTAGGACTGAGAACACACACACACACACACACACACACTGCGAGGAGATAAAAGCCAATAAATTCCCCCGTCATTTGACCCGGGTGTGAATACCGACTGTTCCCTTTTCCACTGCCGACAAAACCCCGATGTTGGCGGGTCTTAGCGGGTTTTTTTTTGACCAGTAGAAAAAGGGGGGATCTACTGAGAGGAGCTGCATGTTTTTACTGGCTTTATACTGTTAGCAGGAACAATGAATCCCAGCACACGAGGGCTCACCTGGTGAGTCTTGTAGAAGAACAAGCAGAAGTTGGTGAAAACGACCCAGAGTTTCTGCCAGCCGTTGCTGTTCTTGAACTTCCTCAGGAGGTAACCTGAGAGCTGGTTCTACAGAGGCGGACAGAGCAGAGGACACGCAGGTTTAGACAGCTACAAGTCAATAACTGAATGTGGTATATCTCACTCATTACATGGAAGGTATGTGGGTGTGTATGTGAAGCTTTAACTTCATGTCACTGAGCACCTCTCCTGTCCGTTTTGTGCAAACAGGTAATTTCACCTGACGCACCTCCTTGCTGCTCTGATAATAAGTGAAGAGTTTTGGTGACTTCTAAATAATTTGGCAGTTAATTGTTTCCAAACTGTCTGTTTTATTTTTAAAATCACGCTCTTAAACTATGGAAAACACCGTCAAGAGCTAGAAGAGATGCTCAGTGAGAACAGCTGAAAACCTATTTATTGAACTTTAATTTTCTCATATTTTACTTTTCTAACTAGTTTCTGTTTTTATTTTCATTTACATATTTTATCATCTACTGTCTTCCTGTCTTCTATTTTCATTGTCCTTCAATCTGCCCTTGTTTTATTGTACTATTTCATGTTTTTTATTTATTGTAAAGCACTTTAGGGTAAATCTCTTGTAGGAAACCTGCTCTATAAATAAACTTTATTATTATTATCAATCACTTTGGTGAATATAATAATAAAAACTGATGCTCTGTGATATAAAAATAAACCAATGTTGTGATAAACCTTATTCTTTCTTTTTCTTCAGCACAACACTTACTTTACTTTATCCATTTTATTTTTTACTCTTACTTTTTTTTACTACTTCTTGACTCTAGTACCTGATTCATGCGCAGGTAATCAGTGAGAGAGAGGTTCTGGTTTCGGTACCAGCAAACATGTGTGATGGTGTTTGGTCTTTGGCCTTGACCGAGGAGGTAGCGAGGAGGAAGCTCTGGTGAGACGGCCGGAGAGCCGAAGACTGAGAGGGTGAAGAGACACAAAAAAAAAAAAGGAAGAGAGGGTGCAGAGAAAGTGTTAGCGTGTTAGCTTTGAGAAGAAGAAAAAGGGAAAGATGAATCAAGTTAAGAAATCCTGCAGGTCTGTGAAGTGAAGTGAAAATGTTAGTGTCAGAGAAATAACGACAGAGATGCTCTCGCTTGCACAAGATAACAACAACAAAGAGCCTTCCGGAGCACGCTTCGGTAAACAGTAGAGATAGTACAAACACAGGATATTAACACCAGGGGAAAAGAGGGACGTTCAGGGAAACCGAAGGGTTAGAAAGACGAGGTGAGACGCCAAGATGGACCTGAGGGCGACCACAGCCGGTTTGCTCCACTGATGGAGAGGTGATGAATGTCGCTGACATGCAAGTAAAACTGCTAATGTGTGTGTTTTTGCATACTTTGTGTTTGGGTGTGTGTGTGTGCGTGCGTGTATGTGTGTTAATGTGGGCAGAGGAGGAGTACCTCCACAGCCAGGCTGTGATCGGACATAGACACACTGGTGTTGCGGTGCCAGCACACATGCATGGTTGTGTTGGCACGGTGGTGCGTCTGCTTGTCCAGTGACGTCCGGGAGGAGTTCATGTCATCCTCCGACTCCTGCTCCAGAGAAACCTCGTCAGACGATCCTGCGGGAGGAGGAGGAGGAGGAAGGGGGAGGAGGAGGGAGGAGGAGGAGTTGGGACGGGAAGTTGTGTGGATGAAAGGGATTAACTGTACTTTTAGACGGTTGCTATGTCCCAAGGAAAAAGCTTTTCAAAAACTTTTCGTTTTCATCCGAGGACAGTATTAAAAAAAATAAAAGTCACATAAAGCAGACGTTTTTCCACTCCACGGGTACCGCGGTTACTGTTACTGTTACTGTACGTTTACACATCGAACTGAAGTTAATCTTACGGTTGGAGCGGTCGCTGAGTCCAGCATCGAGGAAGATGCTGGATTTTTCTTGAGACTTCTTGGCCATGTCGATAGCCAGGTTGAGATCCTCAATCCACTTCCCCATCTCCACCTTAGAGCTGAAAACAAACAAGAAGAACAAACAAGACATGAGCATTTTATCAGTCAGTGATTTTACTCATTTAAATCTGCATCGCTTGATTTAATCTGTTTATAATAATAATTCCAGTTTGTTAGCACTTGGGTCTTATTTTCTTCTGTAGTTGGATGATCAGATTATCTAAACTGCCCCTCAAGTGTCCGTCATCACACAGCGAAGCTGATCACAGGAAAGTCTGATCGCTCTCATCTTTTTCACTTCAGACGTTTTTGAACTGAGTAAAATGTAATTTTCATTAAAAAGTGTTTTAAATTTAAAAAACACATTATTCCTAGTTATCTTTTAAGCTTTCTACACGTTAGCATTGCTCTGCAAACATTTCCACAGAAATACCTGGTCTCTGTACATATGTTAAAGCAGCTGATCTATTTTAATTTACAGTGTCACGTGAGACTCTCACCTGGCAGCCACCACGATGGTTCTCTGAGCAGAGTAGATGGTGAAGCAGTGAGGGACTGACCACTCGTTTTCACTTTCCTCCACCTGCGGACAAAACCAGACGAAATCAGAGCAATGTAGTCGGAGGGAGGAAACAGTCGTCGTCTTCTTGTGGTGATCTAATGGTTTAAGATCAAGATTTGACAAAAAGGGGAACTGAGTCAGAAAGGCTGAAGTCGTAGAGAGACCTGCCTCTACTGAAGCGTCTATATATATATATATATACATATTTATATGGAGTTAGACCATGTCCTTCTTCTCATTCAGGCTCCTATCAGTATCCATATTTAACTCCAAAACACACCTATCAGTTCTGGCATGAGGAAACATCCCTCCGTCCTGTTTAAGTATATATCTCATCGTGTGAGATGTCCATGTTTTTATATTGACCCGGTGAACAACGACAAACGGCTGCAAGGACTGAGGTGGTTGTGAGTCTTGAGTAATGTGTGTGCTCTCTCTGGTGATGTGTCTACACAAGCATGGGAGAAAGAAGGGTAGGGGGGTGGGGGTGGGGTTTTTTTTTGGGCGTCCGAGCTGGCGGAGCTCAGAGGACTTACCGGCGCGTCCAGCACAATGAGCTGCAGCCGGGAGTGAAGCAGAGACATGCAAGGTTAGGAGACCCGGGCCCTCCCTTCGCAACATGATCACCTCTCACCATCATCCTATCACCTGACGCAGGTCAACAAGAGACAAACTTTCTATACTCACTATCATGCCGTGAAGTGGCAGCTGGCCGTGCACTTTGAACTGATTGGTTGCCGTCACACCTTTACTTGTGTAGAGGAGCATGTCTGAGAACTGAGAAGACAGCGGACACGTTAACAGATATTAGTGAATCTCAAACTAAAAGAGTTTCAGTCGCGGTAGTTTTTAATACTCACCAGGAAAAACATCCTTTGCTGCAGCCCCTTCTTGGTGAGTTTGTACAGACAGCCCTCTCGTATGAACTCCTAGACACAGGAGAAGCTTGTTAGATACTGTGATGTACATGACAACCTTTTTCTGTTTTGTTTTTTTACCCAGTTTCCCAGCGCCCCCTACCCTCCGCTCCGTGTCATTGCACTCACCCTGCCTGGTGCTGTCAAGTTCTCTATACCGATCAGGTCTCTCTGCAGCTCTGTCAGCTTCTGGAAATTCTCCAGCCGGATCAGACTGCTCTGCAGCTGAGTGGCTATCTCCGCCACTTCCTTCAGAGCCTCTGCACAGAGAGAGAGAAAATAAAAAAGATTAGAATCCATAATAATTAAATCTCTGACTCATTACCATCTGGCTGGAGTGACAACACAGCTCAGAGAAGAGTTTGCCAAAAAATCTTTCATCAATTTCCAAACTTCCAAAGTTTTTTATCCTCATAAATCAACTTCTCCAACACTTCTGTTGTTTTGGTCCATGAGAGCACAAATACTCCTCCGTCAACATGGCGACGGGGAATGTTTTTTGTGAACGTGTTTCGCCTGCGGCTTCTTCAGGTTCGCTCAGTAGAATTACGAGAGCGTTCACAGGTGTCATAAATACAAACACACATCTTCATTTTGCAACACTTTCCAAAAAACATGACAACAATATTACACATGATCAAAAATCACAGCATCATCAATATTACTTAGAGGAACAAAAGTGACACTGTTTTCTTTCATTTCCTGTTTCCCCACTGTGTACACAGGATACTCACTGGCGTAGTGCGTGAGTTCTGACGAGGTGGTGTTGTACCAAATCAAACATGGCCGCTGTGCACTCACCAGAAATGACGACCTAAATAAAAAGGGCCGCGACTGGCGCCTGACTGACGCTTGGCTGGATATTTGAAGGACTTGTTCTGTGGAGGACTCACCCTTACAGTCGTCGTGGTCACGGTGCGCAGGGGAGTAATGCTTGCATAGTCTCTCCAGGATGAGTTTGTAGTGCATGAGGCGCTGGATGGGTTTGAGCAGGAACGTGTTGAGCGGCAGGTAGCAGACCTTCTGCAGCTCAAACTCTTTGTAGACCGTCTCCAGCTTCTTCAGCCTCTTGGTGGCTTTCTCCAACTCCGTCAGAACCTCGTCGTGCTTCTGCAGGTAGCTGGTGAACTCCTGAGGACGAGGAGCGGGAAGAGCATGACATCCTGTTTTGTCAGGTAAACGCGAATGTGATTTTAATTCAATTCAAAAGATGGGAAAATAAAAAAAAATCACCTTCAGAGCGCACATGTTCCTCAGCATCACATCGCCAATCCTCTGGTAGTCGCCTTTGACGTGAGCATTGGAGCGTCCCTCCCTGAGGAAGACAGGCCGTCGTTACTCATCTCGTCGTTCAATACGTCTCATCACACACAAAAACATGGAGGCAGCACCTACCAGAGAGCCAGCCTCTGGTCCAACTCCTTGAGGAAGCCTCGGTGGAACTCGTAGATGGGGTCGATGTTGGAGAAGAGGAGGGTCATCAGGCCCTCGGGCATGGCGTTTTCTTTGATCACGGCGCTGCGGAACCACTGCGCGATAATCATACACGTTTTCCTCATTAATAAACTGGTATGCAAACATTGGAGCTGAAACGATTAGTTGATTGATTGATCAGTGAGTTTGTTGAATCGTAAAAAAAGTCATTTTTCCAGCTTCTCCACTGTGAGGATTTGTTGTTTTTCTTTATGATATTTGACAGTAAACTAAATATTTTTAGGTTTTAGGTTGTTGATTGGACCAAACAAGTGACAAATTGATATTATCACAAAGTGATCACTCTTTTCTGATGTCTCAGATTTGAAGTGCCGCAGGGTAAAGCAAGAAATACTTTCACATAATGTCTGGTTTTACATTATTTACAATATAGGTATGAAAATGCTTTTGATTCACACTGTCCCAAAAAAAATCTATAATGTTCTTTAATCTGNTTTATGATATTTGACAGTAAACTAAATATTTTTAGGTTTTAGGTTGTTGATTGAACAAGTGACAAATTGATATTATCACAAAGTGATCACTCTTTTCTGATGTCTCAGATTTGAAGTGCCGCAGGGTAAAGCAAGAAATACTTTCACATAATGTCTGGTTTTACATTATTTACAATATAGGTATGAAAATGTAGGAAACTGGATCTTGTATGTATTTGTTTAATGTTAATTTCTATAGTAAACTGAATAAAGTGCACTGAAAAGGGCCTGGTTCTACTACCAAAGTTTATTTTTTCAATGTGTTTTATTTCAGACTTCGATTATTGGTTCTCTTTTAATTAATCACTTCTTTATTATAATATATTATATTTATATAATAATAT